TCTGATGAAACCAGCCTTAAGAAGTTTATCGAGCTCTTCCCGTATGGTCTGCTTCCAATCTGGTGCAAATCTCCGCAGTTTTTGCTTTACTGGCTTGGCATCGGGTCGCACCATAAGTTTGTGCTCAATCACCTCCCTAGGGACCCCGGCATGTCGGACGGCTGCCAAGCGAATACGTCCGCATTGTCGCGGAGGAAGGTGATGAGCGCGAGTTCCTATTTCTCGTTCAGTGATGCCCCGATCTTGACCGTCTTGTCGGGGTTGGCACTGGAGAGTGGGACGATTTTGATTGCGCCGTCTGGTTTCGGCGTCTTAGTTGTTTTGATCACTTTCTTGGGTGGCTCGGCTGTGGCGGGTGGGCTGGGAGTGTGCTCGACCATGTTGAGGCTCCACTTGTCGTATTGGACTGCCAGCTTTGCGTTCCCTTGGATAGTGATTGTTCCCTTCGGCATGGGCATCTTGAGTACCTGATACGCGTAGTGCGATGCGGCCATGAACTTCGTGAGTGCCGTTCTTCCAATGATGGCGTTGTATGCTGTGTCGAACTCAGCAACATCAAATGTTATCTACTCCGTTCGGAAGTTGCTTGCTTGGCCGAAAGTCACCGGGAGCGTAATCTTGCCCAATGGCTTGGACGAGGATTGAGGGGTGATTCCATGGAAGGGTTGATCGGTAGGTGTCAACTCGCTTCGTGGAATTCCCATTGCGTCCAAAGTGCTGGCGAAGAGAAGATTGATGGAGCTACCGCCATCGACGATGACTCGCGCTACTTTGATATTCCGAATAGTGGGCTCGACCACGATCGGATATCGTCCTGGTATAACAGCAGCCTTGGGGTGGTCTTCATCTGAGAATTCGATCTTCTGTTCAAACCACTTCATCTTGGGTGCAGCCCCCTGCCATATCGAACAAACCTCACGCTCCACTTTTTTGTATTCTCGCTTTGAAGAGTACGCTGTGGAACCTCCGAAGATGTGTGAGACATGAAGATCGGAATCTGAGTACACGGAGTCCGAGTCCTGAGTAGTTGTCTCAGTTGCCTTCTCGACTACACGTACTCGCTTGCTCTTCTCCAAAGCCAGCTGCCTTTCCAACGATTTTTTGAAGATGAGGCACTCCTCCAGAGAATGTCTGTCCGACTTGTGTATGGGGCACCATATTCTCTTTGTATCACTGCCCTGTGGGTCTGGGTGTTTGGGCGGGCGCTCGTATTCAGATGCAAGGACTTCTGCTTGAGCTTTCCTCTTCCCACTCTTGCCGCTTTTCTTCTTGCTTGATTCGGGTGCGTCCTTGGCTGGCTTCTTCTCTCCTCCCGCCTTTGGTTTGTCGTTTTTGCGTCTCAGCGCGTCGTCTGCGTGGGCACATCGATCGACAACCTCGAACAGCCTTCGAGTAGTAGTGATTCGCCTTGTTGCCAACTCCTAGGTAGTATAGCAATCTCTAACACCTGTTTTGAAAGCGCGGATCACAAAAGCATCGGTGATACCGGGATCGTATTTCTGCACTCATTAAAGCGCCGGACATAGTCCCTCAAAGATTCACCCTGATTCTGTGTTAACGCGTGTAAATCGTCTTCGATCGCGTGGCGCTTGTAAGTTCCCTGGAAGTTCGCGACGAATTGTTGCCACAAATCTGCCCATGAAGAGATCGAGTAAGGTGGGAGGTGCATCAGCCACGAACGTGCAGAACCTTTCAACGCCGTTGGCAAATAGTTTGCTAACGCGTTGTCGTCTGCCCCAACAGCATATACTACCGTGGAGTAGACTTGGAGGAATTCCTCAGGGTCAGTACTTCCATCGTACTTCTCTATTGCTCCGGGTCGGAATCTTTCGGGCCATCGGACATCACGTAGAGAACGGTTGAAAGCTCTACACCCAGCGCTGGGGGCAGCGGGTTGTCGGCGATCGTGTGTCCTCCGTGGACGTCTATCGGATGACGTAGACGAAGATGATGATGATGATGACGATGATGGCTCACTCGGCTCCGGCGTGCGATTCCGAGGGCGACGTTCAGGTTCTCGAGAATTCTGTCGTCGTCCACCATTGTTGTCCTGGCGCCGGTCACCATTATCATCTTCTTCATGTCGATGTCCCCGACCATTATCTTCTGGTGTCCGCTGTTCGCGGTTATCGCGATCGCGGCGGTTATGACGATCACGGTGATGTTGGTCCTCGTTCGAGCGGCCTCCTCGCTCCTCGTTCTCGCGATGTCGTGAGGAAACACGATGTCGGGAACGATTCTCATTGTCTCGCGCGCATTGTGCTTCTCGGCGGCCGTTCAGATGGTTGCGGAGATCGCCGGTGCCACGAGGTGGAGGGGTAGCTCGTGCAGGCGACGTCCGCTGCTCCGGTGGTTCACCGTCGGCACCGCCAACCGTCGGTCGTTCCGGTTGTGCTCTGGTAGCAGCCTCCTCGAATGTGTTACTGAGATTGGCCACCGATTCCCGTAGTCATTCCGTTCATCGCGCGAGGTCATCGTTAAGCACGGGGTCATAGGGAGCTTCTCTCAATATTGCATTGACGGTGCCGAGATGTTGGGCTGGCGTGGCCGTCTGGTTCTCCGCCTCTGCATTAGCCTGTGTAGACGTGCTAGTTCCATCGATGGAAAATACGTCGCGTGGTGTACTGGAAGATGATGAGCCATAGTCTTCAAGCAAGTGAAGGACTGATGGTTCGCGGGGATCGATATCGATTACTCCAACGAAACTATCCGAAGTCAACGTCGCTCCTTGTTCCTTGTCTGTCTCCTCGAGAGAGGTTCCTGACTGTTGGACCTTGGGAAGCGTCGTCTTCATGGCGCGGAGAAAGACCTTGCAGCTTGAGAAGTCGTGATTCTTCGTCTTGTGAATAGGACAATAGACATCACAAGTTGGAGAAGTACGTTGGATTCCACGCTATTTGCAAGTATGGATTTCGGCTTGTGCGTTGAGAAAAACCCAGCAAGCTTGCAAGTTGTGCTTCCTGGACTTGTGAATAGGACACCAGGACTTGGTGACCTCGGAAGTTGTCCTCGTCGGCTCGCAGTCCTTGTCAGAAGGACAAGGCTTGGTCGCGCTAGGAATCTTCTCGGGGTCATATGACGTCGATGTTCCGTTCTCCGCCACGGCGGGAGGATCCTTCGACATGGGACCGTCCGGGTTTGTAGCCATGGCGTTCTCGTTTCCGGTTATTAATGGACCAGCCGAGATTGGCACCGTGGTGTAAACCGGGAAAACGATTTCGCCGACTTGAGTCCACACCAGCATTGTTGAAGTAGGGATTCTTTGGATGGGGCCGGTGTTGGCTCTGTTGTTGACGAAGCTCGATGTCATAGTAGTAGAATCTTGAGCACCAAGTTCCCCTACCTGGCGCGCCACTGTCGACGGGGGATACCCGTAGACCGGATATAGAGGGTACTGGGGTACGCTGGTACGAGGATCTATGTAATGCGACATCAAGGAAACAAGAGACAAAGATTATACTGGTTCAGGCCCCTTAGCAGGTAATAGCCCTAATCCAGTTGATATGGGATTATATGGAAAGAACTCGGCGGTACCGACGAGATCGTAGTCAAGTTGATTCGACTAGATCACCCAGCGACTTGGCCCCTGTAATCTCCGACTTCGTAAGCTATGGTCGTTGTGTAGGCTCTGAGATTTGATGCCTTAAGTTCCCCCGGGGGGTCCCTTTTATATCGCAGGTCAAACGGTCTCCAAGTAGGACTCGGAGACACCGGACCCTGCACGACATAGTAACGACCCAGTCCTATACAGGTAGTAACCTTTCCATTGGCAGACTTCGTGATGGATTTCCTTAACGTGTTCAGAGAATGTCCGTATATGCACCGATATACTGTATTGCCGTATAGCATACATCCAAGGGTAGAGGGTATACCTTATCCGTAACCCTGACAAATATATATCCAAGCGAATTCTTAAAGTGAATTTCATCTCAACTAAACTGTATAGCAATAATAAAATTAAAATAGCCTTCACCCGTTGCAACGCACGGGCATTTTTTCTAGTTTATTTAAAAATATGTAGTAAAAGGATTTCAAAAATTGAGTAAAAAGTTTAAATTTGAATTGAAATATTTGAATTTTGATGTATGAAATTTTTCCATTTGAGATGAAAATTTTGAATTGTGTGCTAAAAGTTTCTTTAAATTTGAGTTTGATGTTATAGAAAATACTCCTCCGTCCCTAAATATAAGAAAAATGCATATGTTGTAGAGGAACAAAATTTGCTAATATACTTATTTTTTTAATAATTTATGTATATATACATATATCAAACGGAATTACAAAAATATACTCGTCCCCTGTCCCGTGGAGCGCGACGATCCCATAACTCCAAAACACGGGACCGACGGTACCGCGGAAAGGATATGCAGGACCGCGACGGTCCCGCAGGTTCAAAATGCAAAGGCAACCAGCGATTTTTAACGTTGTGTAGCACTGTTTTTAAACTGTTCTTACTGTTTTGACACTGTTCACGCGACGGTCCCGTAGGCTCAACGCGGTCCATGAACAGTGTCTAAACAGTGTTGAACAGTAGCAAACAGTCACGAAACAATATCAAACGGTGCTGATGCAGTAAATAAATCGTTGGCTGCCTCGCTCCGGCGTTTTGAAACCGTGCGACCGTCGCGGTCCCACGCGAACGTTGCGGGACCGTTGTGCCCCTGCGTTTCCGTCCCACGGAACGGATATATTTTTTTGTAAATCTATCTCATCCAGGTATATAAACATAAATTATTAAAAATATAAGTATATTTGTAATTTTTTTTCGTGTTGTAGAGGTTAAAAAAACGCACGCCACTTAACCTCCTGGCGCGTCTGCGGTAATTAGGATTCTCGAATATAAGTTGGCTCCACACCTCTTCAAAGAAGCGGCCCAGTCACGTGTCCGATACCCAGGGACCTATCGCAATCGTTTGGATTGGCCTACTGTACTGGGTTAAGGAGTCTTCTGATCTTTGTGCACGTCCCCATACTCTAATTTTACCATGAAGGAAACCTAATTACACCCAATAAATAATATACCATTTACCATTATTGCAATTCTCTGAATATAAGAGAAGTCCCGAAACAAATTTGGTGGGAAAAGAAGACCGAATTATTCCAAGCTCCCAACAGTATGTTGCGACGAACACCGCAGCGCAGGCACGCAAAAGAGACTACAGCAGCAAAACGCGACAGCTAAAACGGCAGTAACACTAACAGCAGATTGACTTCATTAACAGCAGGTTGACATCGAGCTCAAGCGTAGCTTTCGGCGATGTCGGCGAGGCACCGCGCCAGCTCGTCGGGCCTCGAGAGCATCACGAGGTGGTCCGCCGCATCGATCTCCTTCACCTCATCCACCGGGCTGTTCCCGATCATCCACCGCTGGAACCCCTCCGGTATGGCGAGGTCCTGGTTTACGACCACGTACACCTTCCGCACCGAGCCGTAGCGCCCCTCGGTGAACGGCTGCTGCTTTTGCAGGTCCTCCACGAACATCGAGCTCACCCTCAGCAGAGATCCCGCGAGAGTGACGTCCTGCAGCCGGACAAAACGATTGATTAGTTTTGTCATCCAGTATACGCTAATACGCTATGCAGGCTCGAAAAGTCGAAATGAAATAATTGCACGTGCTTGTTTCTATTATAAAACCAGTCCCAAAAATCGACATCGGTAGCTAAATGCGGAAAAAAACGCCATAGAAGATCCAAACATGATGACGACACCGAGACACAATATTTGGTAACGGAGTTCAGCTGTGGCCTACATCTCTGGGTACTGATTACGGGTGCTCCTCCCCGATCCAGCGTATCAGAGTTACAATGACTCACAGCCGGACGCCGCCGGCAGCCGCTCTCTCTCCCTATGCTAAGTCGCTATACAGTTACAACAGGTACGTCCTTCTATTTACGAGAGATCCTAATATAGAATCCGACTAATACTTTAATTCTAATACCTATTACAACTTCAAGTTCTAAACTGTAACCGACTACATACACAAATTCGACACAAACTCTAGGAGCATATACAACTTTTTTTTCCTAGAGGATATATAAAACTTGTTTGTGATAAGAAGCGACTAGCTGGTGCTTGGCCGAGTCCGGTAGTGAATGGACAATGATGGATCAATAGACTGGTCTATCAAATCTTTATCTTTACCTTTATCTTTACCTATTATAAAAATTTAAGATGTTTTTGCCGTAGATTTCGTACGTCGTCGCAGTAGTGCACGTTTTATTTATCCGGCCGACTCCTCTTTTATCCGACTCCGTCTCCTTATAGCATACGTACGATTTTTTTATCCGACTCCGTCCCCGCACCAATCAGTGAAAACAAAATAAAAATAAAGATGAGGCACACGCAAGTTGCTAGCTTCAGGTAATATCTGTCGTTCCTTTTTTTTATATAGAATCCAAGTAAATCAAGTATTGCTTTACTCGGATAGAAAAATCAGAATCATAGGCTGAGTAAATCAAGCCTATTCTTTACATTACATCTTTATCTTTACATATTATAAAAATTTAAGGTGTTTTAGCCAAAAAATTTTGTATGTCGCCCCCAAATTGGAAACAGCGCAAAAAAGCAAAAAAAATCAGATCGGAGATGGAAAAAAAAATCGGATCAGAGATGGAAAAGAAAAGGGGAGCAGCCAAGCACCCCCCCCCCAACCCTCGCTTTGCTTCTCCAAATCCCAAATCATCGCATCGCAATCCAACACAAAAACAAAATCCCAATCGGAATCATCACAAAATATCAACGAGATAAAATATCAACACAAAAAGATGAGGAGAGGAGAGGGAAGGTCGAGCCAGAGGCGCCGCTGCTCCTTGCCGAACCACCACCTCGCCGCCTCGCTGTTGTGGAGGTGCCGAGCTCGGGAGGATCCTGAGCCGCCGCTGCCACTAGGGAGCCGTCGACGCGTCGTTGCGCCGTCGTTGAGCCGGGGATCCGCCGCACCGCCGCTGCGCCGGAGATCAACCGCGCCGCCGGAAGCCGTCTACCCGCCGGATCTTGAGAGGAGCGGGGCGGCGGCGGCACCCAGACGAGGAGGAAAGGGAGCGCCGGTGGAGGTGAGGGAGAGCGCCGATGGGGGAGAGGAAGCGGCGCCACTGCGCCACACGGTGGGGAGAGGAGAGACAAGGGGAGGGTGGGAGGCGCGTTGGCCCGTAGTAGGGGGAGAAGGGAGGAGTTAGGGTTAGGGTTTTATAAATTTGGAACCGATCCGAGCCGTCCATCAAATGAACGGCTTAGATTGATCCCAAGTTGGGTCGTCTCATGGGCCGCATGCGCGCGATCCGCACAGGAAGGAATAAGTTTACTTTAGATCCTTTATCTTTACATCGAGTTTAAATCACATCCCTAAACCACAAATATTTTAAGTATTTTCTATTTTCAGAAATAGCATTAGTACCATTTTAGTTGCTTAAAATTGCTGAAAAATTATGAATGTTTTTCTGACTTCCATCCTCGGGCCGTAGCACAGTTGGGCTGCGGGCGCTTCACCGGCTGTGTGCGCGAATGAACTTTCTTTCTTTCTATCTTTCGTTTTATAGGAATATATTTTCTTCAAGGGCTCATAACACGGAAAACTGGACCCTAATCAGCTAATATCTTATAATTGTTATAATTTTAGTTTACCCATTGCAACGCACCGGTATTTTTTCTAGCAATTAATAAAAAACAAAGAAGACGATAGGTATGTGCCAACAAAAATAATTTCAGCTTGCAGTACACATGCTACCAATGAATCTGAATTGTCGTGTTTTTTTATGGCTCTGCAATTTTTTCTTTTATAGTACAGTCCATGGCACGAGTACCATTTTGCTGGTGTAGACATTTTGGGTGTGTTTAGATGGTAGAGAATTTGGGAAGTTGAGAGAAATTTGATAGTTTGGAGAAAAAGGTGATAGTTTATGTGTGTAGAAAAGTTTCTGATGTGATGTGATGTGATGGAAAGTTGGGAATTTGGGTGTAACTAAACAAGGCCTTTGACTAGCTAAGCGATATGCACTAGCCGTTCCTATCGTTCTCTAAGAGAAAAATGTGGCCTGAGGGCTACATGTAGCTAGCTGATACTATCATGCTACATGCTGATTTGATTCAAGGATCCACCAAACAATCATCAATCCCTTTCTGGTCCCCTCTTGGCTAAGGCTATATTCTTAGGAGCTTGTTCCCAACTTACTATTCTCGTTTTTCACGTGCACGCTTTTTAATCTGTTAAATGATGTTTTTTTACAAAAATTTCTATACGAAAGTTGCTTAAAATAATCATATTGATCCATTTTTTAAAAAAATTAGCAATTACTTAATTAATCACGTGCTAATGGATAATTCCGTTTTCCGTGCATACTGTTTGGGTCGGGAACCGGCTGGATTGAACACAGCCTAAGAGCAAGTACAATAGCAGGCTATAAGCCAGCTATAACAATATATCGAGAAGAAAAGGGAAGAGAGAGGAGAAAGCGGGCTACAGATTTGTAGCAAGCTGCAACACGGACTCAAGACGTTGCGTGTGTATGAGAGGTGGGACCGGATATTAATGGTGTAGTATATTTTTGTATGTAACTATTATATGAATGGACTATTAGATTAGCTATGAATAATTTGAAGCTAACATTTGGCTATACTATTAAACTTGCTCTAAGAAAGTTTTATACTCCGTAATTCAAAAATATAAGATATAACCACCCTTAATCCAAAAACCAAGAAACAATTATTATCACCTCATTATTTGAATCATCCTAATAAATACAATGCATGCACCCAGTAGAATATATGCATGCACATCTAAGAAAAATAGGTGTGTCTTATATTTTGGAATAATGGGAGTAGCAGAGACAACCATGAGCTTATAGTTAATATAATAGTTAATATGTCCTCCCTCCAGTTGTAAATATTGTTGACGTATTGGGATAGAACCAAACTATGCAACTTTTTGACATTTTAGTCTCTGCCTATTCATAAAGGACCTACTTGCTCCTACATGCATGCATCCTATTACTCCATAGTGCTACATCTCTCGAACCTGGCATGCACAGAAGCTTAGTGACAGGTTCATACCACCTACTCCAATTAGCACACCGCCACATTTAATATGGGTAATAAATCATTTCTTGGTACGTGGGATTATGTTTAAATCGTCAATAAAATTAGAACAAGAGGGAGTATAGTAGATAAACTATAAGATTGTCTTTATATTTTTATCTCTTCTCTCTTTCTCTCACTTATCCTATCTTACTATAAAGTTATCCTCCACTAACTCTTTAAGCTTAACATGCAAAGATGCCACATCATCATCCACTAACAAGATGCCACATCATCATCCACTAATTAATAAGATGCCACATCATCATCTACTAACAATCATCACATTTAAACATCATGCAAACATGCTATATCTTTATAATTTTTATAATTTAAGAGCTTTTCAAATACAAATATGTTAAATTATCATCTAACATAATTCACATAATATTTCAATGTATATCTTTATTATGTTTTATGATATCCTATATACTTATATAGTTCATCCTCACTTTACTTTATTAGTGTTTAAATGATTAATCTATGGTCCAAATTATCTTTCTCTTTTTTTCCTCTAACTAAGTCATATCACATCAATTGTTTTTAGCCTTTAGATAATTAATCTACGGTCCAAACTATTTTCCTACTTTTCTTCTTTCATATAAAGTCATACCACCTTACTTTTTATGTTTGAATCACCATTCTACATACTATTTAAATTTAAATAATCATAAACTACATTAATTTACTTAATCTGATGTTATCTAGCTATCTTACACGTTATTTTTTTATTATTATCATACTAAATTTTCACAACAATGCGCGGGGTTTCACCTAGTATATTTAATGCATTTGTCTTAGAGTATGCGAATAGCTAGCTCTTATATGAGAACCAAATACTTTTATTTTTTTTATTTATTTCTCACTCTTTCACATAAGTTTATAATTAGTTTATAGCTACATGCAAAAAAAAATAATCCTCATCCTTCCCATTTCCAAAGTTTCTCGAGGCATTAAAATCCACCTCCATAGACGTGGTGAAAACAAGCGCGTACTTACCTCTGGCGAGCACAGCTGCATCAGCCTTTCTTGGGCGATCTGCGGCCCGAACAACATGGAAGTGGGGAGCTTGCCCTCTGCATCCTGCGGCTTAAACTCCGTGTCCATCCAGTCCAGCCACTTCCCCTCGATGAACTTTGAGAGAGCAAAGCAAGACTTGAGAGTAAAATTCATGACAAAACAGAAGTGGATCGATCACAGTTTGAGGGTCAATTCTACATCTACAAATGCTAGGTAAAAAGCTGTATTATTTGGGGAGTTTCTGACAACTGAAAATTCTATAAGAAGCTACAGCTGGTTGAATCTCCCCAAACAAGCCCTGAGCTAGCATTTCGAGAGCCCCTCGGCTGATCAGCAAATCTTAGCAGGAGAAATAAATTAAGCAGCTATTTGATAGGCAAAAAAAAAAAGAATGGACTCACCTTTTCGAGCACGTGCGACGGCCGGGACGTGTGGTCCGGCATGAAGGCGCAGAGGAACACGGCGGCGGCGATCTTGTCCGGGAACAGCTCGGCGGCCAGCGCGACGTTGATGCCGCCGAGGCTGTGGCCGACGAGGACCACCTTCTCCCCTGGAGGGAGGGAGCCGAGGAGGCCCAGCAGCGGCGCGGTGTAGTCGCGGAACGTCGGCACCTCGCGCAGCGGCCGCGGGTCGACGCCCGACGCGCCGAGGTCCGGCGCGGTGACGCGGTACCCGGCCGACCGGAGCCGCGTCGCCACCTTGAAATAGGTCCAGCCGCCGATGCACGCGCCGTGGACCAGGACGAGGTGCTTGCAAGCTACCTTGCCGTCCGCCATGGGTGGTACAGGAGGTGTATCACGTATGGTTACGTAGTCCAGCCTCCCGCGAGTCGACGGGGCGACCTCTACGATCGGCCTAGGAATATATAGACCCCCCATGGGGTCATATACTGCCGAAAGTTCAAACTGGTGGTATGAAAATGAGATTTTACAACCTCTCATTCAAATTTCAGATTAGGGAATAGGGATGGTAGTGGGATGACCCATATGCACGGGTAATAATTGACTCGCTTTAGTTCATTCAATAATTGGCGCACTTTAGTTCATTTAAAGTGGAGTATATATATAAAATTTTACTTCCTCAAATTATTTCAGCTCATTAAGATTAATTTTAAAAAAGCTTATGATAAAGTTAAATGGTCTTTTGGACAACAAACGTTGAGAATGAAAGGCTTTTCTCCTAAATGGTGTGAGTGGATAGCTTCTTTTATTCAATGTGGTCATGTTGGTATAAAAGTTAATGATCAAATTGGTAACAATTTTCAAATTTACAAAAGTCATAGGCAAGGGGATCTTTTATCTCCAATTTTTTTTAATATAGTAGCTGATATGTTTGCTTTATTAATTAAGAGGGCTAAAGAGGCGGGACTTTTGAATGGGGTAATTCCTCAACTTGTTGATGATGGTTTGTCTGTCTTGCAATATGCAGATGGTACCATCATCTTTTTGGAGCATGACTTGCAACAGGCAAAGAATATGAAATTGATTTTATCTGTATTTGAAAAGTTGTCTGGCTTAAAAATAAATTTTCACAAGAGTGAATTATTTTGTTTTGGTCAGGCAAAGGAGTGTTAAAATCAATATTCTAATATCTTTGGTTGTAAGTTAAGTTCTTTTCCTGTTAAATATATAGGAACTCCAATACATTTTAGGAAGCTTTCAAATGAAGAGTGGAAAGTTTCTGAAGAAAGAATTGAGAAAAAGCTTAGTAGTTCGAAAGGCAATCATCTGTCAGTTGGTGGTAGATTGGTTTTGATTAATTCTGTATTTTTGAGTTTAGCCATGTTTATGGTATCTTTTTTTACATACCAAAAGGGGTTCTTCAAAAAGTTGATTATTATAGATCGCGGTTCTTTTGGCAAGGGGATAATCATAAGAAAAGTACAGGCTCACTAGGTGGGATATTATTTGCCAACCCGAGCACCAAGGGGGAGGGGGGGTCTTTGGATACATAATTTGGAAATTCAGAATAAATATTTTTTAAGTAAATGGTTGTTTAAGTTAATTAATGAGGAAGGGGGTTGGCAAGACTTAATAAAGAGAAAGTATCTTTATAATAAGTCTATAACCCAAGTTGACAAGAAACAAGAATTGGTCTGGACTTATGAAAGTCAAAAGTACTTTCTTAAATACGGGTTCTTGGATTGTCAATGATGGGAAACAAATTAGATTTTGGAAAAATAAATGGCTAGGCAACTTGGCTTTCAAGGATAAATATCTATCTTTATATGCTATTGTCCGAAGGAAATCGTCTTCTATTGCCACTGTCATGGAATCTGTTCCGCTTAATGTTTCTTTCAAAAGAGCTTTAGTTGGTCAGAATCTTGTTAATTGGTATGAGTTGTGTGCTTCTATTGTACATGTCCAGTTGAATATTTCTTCTAATAGCTTTAGATGAAATTATCATCAGAATTGTAAGTTCTCGGTAAGGTCAATGTACCTAGCTTTAATTAATAATGGATATATCGAGAGGAATAAGTATGTTTGGAAGCTTAAGATGCCACTTAAGATTAAGATCTTCATGTGGTACGTGCTTAAAGGGGTTGTGTTAACTAAGGATAATTTGGCGAGGCGGAATTGGAATGACAGCTTGAGGTGTTGTTTTTGTATGAAGAATGAGTCTATTCAACATCTATTTATGGATTGTCATTTTGCAAAGTTCATATGGAGAGTAATTCAGTTCTCTTTTGGTTTTAACCTTCCTACTAGTATATCTCATATTTTTTATGGGTGGCTTTTCGGGGTAGATAAGAAAAAGAGTAAACTAATACTTGTTGGAGCTTCTGCCATTTATTTTGCAATATGGTTGAGTAGAAATGATATGATATTTGATAAATCACCATCAATTTCCTATATACAGGTAATTTTCAGGGTAACTCATTGGCTCCGGTTTTGGGCACAATTACAAAGGTGTGATGAAGATGGAGACTATCTGAAAGTTGCATGTCGCAAGTTGGAGACCACAGTTATGCAACTTTTTGCCAATTATGGATGGAGATTCATAAATAGACTACAATGAATGTGTTATCCTTATTTTAGATTGGGTTTTTCTTTATCCTGTTTGGTGTGTTCTATTTGTTTGGAACTACACTCTTTTCTGGAGTGCTACTATGTAATAATTGGTTGTAGCTCTTTTTGAGTAAAGGCCAGGATATTATATTCCATTATCTAAAAAAATTTCACCAGCTCATTTAGTTTGAGTTATTTTCAGCAACTCAAATTTATAGCTTCCTTGTTTTCTGTTAGCACGTTTCCTGAAATGCTACAAACTGTGTTTCATACAAAAAGTTTCTATATAAATATTTCTTTTAAAAAAAATCAAATAAACCTATTTTTAAAGTTTATAATAATTTGTCATGGTTATAGATACTACATACCTAATAGTAGTTGATTAAACTCGACAGAGCCCACCACATACCATGTCTTATATGGAAACAAACCTCGTATATAGAAGGAGTTGCGGATAAGGAAGGACAAGAAGAGTTCTACATGAAAACGACACAGACTACTCAGATCGTATCCATATTTATCTCCCTAGTTTTACTTGGACAAGGGAACCTATGGGTATAAATACAAGCTCCTAGGGTATAAATACAAGCCCCCTAGAAGGAGAGATGACACACCCACCATAGACGCCACAAAGCCACCAGCCAATACAAACCAACACACTACCAGATATCGACATCAGAGATTAGCATAGACAAACCCAATCCAATGCATGCGGAGGCTGATAAGAGGGATCTAGCACTATCTCTGATCTCAACGAGTTCATGCTCAAGGAGGAAGACTACCCTGTCATCGACTACGAGTTGGTTATCTAGCCGCCAAGTCGACGACAGCTAGATAGTTTATCCAGATGAATAAAGAGCAACACCGGCTTCAGCCAACGGGATGCAGGGCTATTACCTGTCAAATAAGGGGCCCGAACATGTATAAAAATCCCTGTCTCCATCTCTTTTACCTCAATCTCGCATATACCTTGGTACCAACAATCCCCATACCATCCAAACACCCTAGTCGCAATACCAAACGTCGACATAATTAATATTCAATTAATTATATGCTATTGACTTCTCTAATTTCACGTGCTGACAAAAAATTCCACCAAATTGGAACATGTCTTTAACCCCTTAAACTATTTATTTACTCATTTTACACTCTGAACTATTGAAAACAATTCATATTACTCTTAATTCTATTTCTCTATTTTGTTTTCCCTATATAAGTCGCATTTTACATCAAAATTTGGCACGATGATGATAGATGTATTGCACTTACGCTTGAATATTTTTTTTTATGATTTCCTTTATGACTGTTTACATTGGTGGAAGCGCTTAAAATTGATTGAAACATCATAAAAGTTCAAACAAACATTGATGAGAAAATTTTAAAGTATTTTTGAACTTTGATAATGGTGTCATGTATGTAGAAACATGTAGATTAAATACATCTTATATAAATAAAAAATATAAATGTTATTACAGAGTAATATGAATCATTTTTAATAATTTAGGGGTAAAATAAGACAAATAAATAATTTATGGGATTTTACCAGTGTTAAGTGATCACCGAGGAAACAAAATAATATTTTTAGAATTAAATGAAAGAGTATTTAGGCTACAACGCCTGCTGCTCCAGGCTTCTCACAACGGAGACCTGAGCCACCCGCTTGACCATTCTCTCCAGTGCCCCATCTTGCAGTATGCCGACGACAGTCTCATCATCTTGCCGGCAGAGCAACAACAACTTGTGGTTCTTAAAGCTATCCTTGGTCCTTTCTCTGAAGCCACCGGGCTAAAAATTAACTTCCACAAAAGCACCTTCCTCCCCATTAACGTTCAGCATGACGAGGCAGTTCAGTTGGCGGGGATTCTTGGTTGCCCCTAGCTTCCTTCCCCCAACCTTACTTAGGCCTCCCTCTCTCTGGTACCAAGTTTTGTCTTGCGGACTTTCAACCTCTCATCACTAGGATTGACAAGCAGCTTGCCGGTTGGCGCGGTCACCTTCTATCTTCCGATGGTCGGCTTGCACTCATCAATTCGGTGCTCTCAGCCCTCCCATCATACATGATGGGGGCCATCCTTCTTCCTAAAAGAGTGATTGCCGCTATTGACAAGCGCCGAAGGGCCTTCTTCTGGATGGGGGAAGAAAACTGTCACAGCGGCAATTGCAAAATTGCATGGGACAAAGTTTGCTCTCCGAAAGAAAAAGGTGGTGCTGGGATAAAAAATCTCGAGATAGAACAGATGTCTTCTCTAGAAATTTCTCCTCAAAATGCACAAGGGTGATTCTGTGCCGTGGATCGACTGCTTTCACGATCACTATGGATGGTCCGCCTTGCGTGACCTAGGCGATCTTTCGTGGCTTGACACGATCATCTGGAAGGACATCATCACGGGCCTTACACACTTTCGCAGTGTTTCGAAATCCATCATTGGAGATGGTCGGTCCACTTCCTTCTGGTTTGATAATTGGATTGGCGGTGACGCCCTCTTTCAACTATTCCCTGCCTTGTTCTCACATGCAACTCGCCCTAACATTTCTGTCGCGGAAGCCCTAGCCACTCCTGAATTGCTCCTTCATCTTCGGCCCCGAATGTCGACGATGGCCACACACGAATTGGCCAATATCCAAGCCCTGGTATGCCACCTAGTCTAGACCCAGAGACGAAAGGCAGATGCACCTTGTCCACAAATCGCCCCCTCACAGCAAAAACAACCTACGACTTAAGCTTCTTAGGGTTACCAGATGACCCTTTCGCTAAGCCCATTTGGGACAACCAAGCTCAAGTCAAATGCAAGATCTTCCTTTGGACTACACACAAGAGGCGCATCTTCACCAATGAGAGACGAGCTCAACGTGGATTAGCAGCATCCGCACGTTGTCCATTTTGC